GTTAAAGGCCAACCTGTTTAAACAGGGAGTTCCAGGCCAGCCCCACTATAGGGAGACCCTGTCTCTCAAAAGGCCAAAAAAAAAAAAAAATTACTCTTGAGAGTTGAGTAGCTGCAAAGGTTCTGTATGTTTTCTATTTTGATCATGCTGTTTCTCGAGATGACCACATCTTTCAGAGGAAATGAGTCAAAGCCACTCGGGCTTGCTTTTCCAGCTGAGCATGTTCCGTTTCAGTGAAGTAATGAATGAACTTGCCCCCCCCCACCAGCCTACAAACAGCAAACAGAAGGGACCTCCACCAATCAGCAGGCACTCACGGCTTTCCAGTCGCGTTCAAACCGGCCCACAGTAGGCCAATCAGTGCTCCAGGCTCCGCCCCGCAACGCCAGGGGCCCTAGCCAACCACCAACCCGGAGGAGCCAAAACACAGAGGCCAGCCAATGGCACGGCGCCCCACGGCGCTGCGCTCCGCCAATGGGCGCGGCCCGGGGCAAAGGGAAACAGAGCGGCCGGACCCGCTGCAGGATTCGAATCGAACGTCCGTCCGGGAGCCGGCAGCCGGCCGGGCGGCACGCTGGCCAATCAGCGGCCGCGACTCGCGGCCTCCGAACGTTGAGACACCCGAGGCCCCGCCCCGCGCTGTTGTTTGTGGTGTCGGCCGCGGCCGCGGGCGCCGGACCACAACATTCGCCGGGCGGCGGCGGTGCAGCGAGCGCGAGCCCAGCGCGGCCTCCCTGGGCCGCCGCGGCCGGAGCCATGTCGGTGAACATGGACGAGCTGCGGCACCAGGTCATGATCAACCAGTTCGTGCTGACCGCGGGCTGCGCGGCCGACCAGGCGAAGCAGCTGCTGCAGGCTGCGCACTGGCAGTTCGAGGTGCGCGCGCGGGGGAGCGGGTGCCCGGGGCGGGGGAATGCGGGGATACCATTCCGCGGGGGCCGGTCCCGCGTGGGCCCGGGCTGGGGGAGGCCGAGGCGTCCCCGCACTCACGCCGCCCCGCGCTCACGCCGCCCCGCCCCGTGTTTGTCCGCAGACCGCCTTGAGCACGTTTTTCCAAGAAAGCAACATTCCCAACAGCCACCACCACCCCCAGATGGTAAGTGTGGCCCGGGGACCGCGCACGCGACCCGGGCCGTGCGGCTTCGGTGGGGCCTGGGAGGGGTGGGGGAGGAGGGTCCCGCGCGTGCGTGGGGCCGGGTGCACAGCCCACACGGGACAGGACCGCTGTCAGCCGCGGCGGTGACAGCCATGTTGCCGGGGAGCGTCGCGCCGCGAATGTAAACAAAGAGCCAAAATGTCTTCCAGGAAAGAGCGTTCCCAGGCCGGCGCTGGCTCGCCGAACTTTGGGACGCGCCTCCGGGCTGCTGGATCTGGGCCCGAGGCCTGGTGTCGGGCTCTGCTCCCTGGGCTCCCGGGTCCTGGTGTTGGCGAGGTGGGGGCGGGGGTGGGGCAGGACAAGCAGGGACTCTGGAGCTGGGTTGCAGATGGTGGGGAGGGGGCTCGACGATAACCAGGGAGCCGGGGGAAGGGGACTGAGTTGGGGTATTTGTGTGAGGATGACAAGCCCAGACAAACGCGCAAAATCCACCCTGGTTCAGGAAGTCCAGCTCTACCCACAAAGGTATGCTGGCCCTTCCAGAGCCCCAAGGGAACATACCCTGTGTGAAGGATATACAGATTTTGACCCAAGATAAGACCAAGAATTCGCTTTTAATCTCAGAATGTTAAGAAACATACAGTTCAGGAAACAGAAGTGGCTCAGGCCTGGATTTGTTTTCTGCTCCTTCCACCTTGGCTCCTGGCTAGAGCCTTTGCCCTCCTGGCCAGGGGGTATCCTGCTTTCTTGAGGGGCAGGACATCCCTTCACCACCCCACCCCTAGTTACCTATTAGCTCTCATCTAGTGGGAGCCCAGTGGTGGGATGGTAAACCATTATTCCCCCCAGCAGGTCGGCTGTGGTGCATTTTTGGTATTTTGCTCTCTCCAGGGCACAGGCTGGACGTGGCTCCCTTCTGTGTCTTGTCCTTGGCACCGTTTTTCTTCCAACCAAAGAAGAGAGGGGTCTGCCTTGACTTCAACTGGCTTTTCTCTTAGAGTGGCTCATGCCACGTATGAATCAGTACAGTGTGACATTTGAACTGGCTTCCTGAGCCTGGGATCACCCAGGATCACCCAGGATTGCCTTGCCTCCAACCCCATTCAGATCCTTGAGATTTGTTCCTTCCCACTCAGAAAGGCACAGCCTTGCTGAGGGGCCTGAACCCAGGAAGCTGGCAGGCCCCAGCCAGAACTGGAGTTTTGTTTCGTTCCTTTCCCCATCCCCCACCTCTGCAAATCCCGGGGTGGGGAGGTGGGGGGTGGGTATAGCCCCTTTGGAAGCTTCACTTGGGGAGAAGGCTTGTTTTGTAACAGACATTATAATCAATGCGTCCATCAGGGACAAGTACTGGGTGCTTCGTCAACGCAGTGGAGAACAGACCTGCTCTCAGAGTTGGTGCTTTCTTGAGAGGAAACAATGGAAAAAAATTAAAAACTTTGCAACTCTGCACTTGGGAGGTTGAGGCAGGGGGAATACTATGAACTCCAGGCCAGCCTGGACTACCTAGCAGGATCCTGTCTCAAACACTGGAGCCAGTCACCACAAAGTGGCAATAAACAATTGTTCCTAGATTATCACATTTGGAGGAAACTCCAGGGTGATTGGGGTCCCCAGCTGTATTGAGGGAACTGGACCTAAGAAGGGAGTTGCAGAGAGAAGGACTGTCGCCATGCCAGGACAGTTACTTAATACTGGAAGGACTTTAGACAATCTAGTTCAAGTCCTTGGGTTTTCCAAAGCGGAGAAGCTCCAGAGAAGCCCAGGAACTTACCCAGCTCACCAAGGCAGGTGGGCACAGGCCCTGTTAGCGTTCTAGGCTGTTCTCTGGAGCAGGGTGGCTGTTGAGCCAGCCTCTGGCTTGGAGGACTGGGGAAGTCAGTCACGATGTTGTGATGCAACTGGCCTCCACCCCGAACCCCTCATTCATTGTTTCCTGCTGCTAAGAAGTCAGGCAAGGGGGGGGTGTCTGGTGGGGGCAGACCTCTGGCTGAGTCCTTTGGCCTACCCCCTAAGACCCTTAGAGCAGACCCTGGTCTGAGCTCCCTAGAAGCTTTGGCAGAGATGGTGAGGTGGGGTCCCTGCCTCAGTTGCTTGGTTTGCCTTACAGAGTCCTGGGCTTCCTTATTTCAAGATAAAGTCCTAGAATCCTCTTGTGTCTCAACCCCCCCCCCTCCTTGCCCCAAAGCCCTGTGCTTGGGGGGAGGAGCCAGTGTTGCTAAAATTAGGAGAAACTGAAAGGATTTGGTGGCTTCCTGAGAAAGGGAGAAGAGGCTCTGAGGTCAGAAATCAGCTCTTGAAGCCTGTTCCCAGACACTCGATCAGAGCCTGCTGGGTTCTGAGGCTCCCACCGCTGGATGTTGTGCTGGGAGCCCAGGCCTGGAGCTGCCCATAACCCACAAATGTGGAGTGCAGCTGGGCGGAGACCAAGTGCCTGGGCCTGTATTCCTGGGGTCGCAGGAACTCACTCTGACTTCTCAACATGTACATCCAGTCATGACTTGCCCCTTGGGCCTCAGTTTCCTCATTTGTCATATGGAAAACAGAATTCAGCCCACCATACCTTGTGGGAAGTCCAGTGGAGGCAGCCAGGGCTCCCAGGCCTGTTGGCTGTGAATGTGGTTGAATGAAAGTCCAAGAAAGTGCAACTTTTCTGCAGCTGGTGCAGGGAGACCCAACACCCTGGGGACCGTGAGGGTGAGCGGTGGGAGAAGCCAGCTGGCTTCGCTAGCTGGAGAGGCACTGGTGTCCTGGGTTACTCCTTGTCCTTTCTCTTTAACTTGACACCTCAGCTTTGAGTTGGAGGTAACTGCTGCCTTCTCATTCCCCTCCCTGTCATTTCCAAGCATCACTTGGCTTTGATGACCCGGTTGGGTTTTTCCCCTTCATTGACTCTGGAGGAGATGGGTCTTCCTGTCCAGTTGAAGTTGCCTGTGGTCTGAACAGTGGGAATAAAGTGGTTCTGGGAGTGTGCAGGCAGCCCTCACCACACCTGTGCTCTCTCTCTCCCCCCAGATGTGTACTCCCAGCAACACCCCTGCCACACCACCGAACTTCCCTGACGCCTTGGCCATGTTCTCGAAGCTTCGCACCTCCGAGGGCCTGCAGAGTAGCAACAGCCCCATGACTGCTGCCGTGGCCTGCTCACCCCCTGCAAACTTCAGCCCCTTCTGGGCCTCATCCCCACCCAATCACCAGGCGCCCTGGATCCCGCCCTCTTCCCCCACCTCCTTCCACCATCTCCATTGCCCACAGCCCACGTGGCCCCCCGGAGCATCACAGGGAGGCACCCAGCAGAAAGCCATGGCAGCGATGGATGGCCAGAGATGAGACTGGATGCTGCCGGGCACTGGGCTGGAACAGGGGGGCAGTCCAGGGTTGTGGGAACACAGGAGGGCTGGGGAGGGGGGAACTCAAGAGGGTTGGAGGGGTTTCCTGAAGATCGCACTGGAAGATTTTATAAAAGAATTTTTGTGGGTGGGGGGACAGTAAACGTCCTGGGCCACTTGGGATCCTCAGGAATTCCTCTTTGGGCAAGTTCCCCCCCCCTCTTTTTAATATATAATATATATGAATATAAATTTAGCTAATGTATGTGAGGATGGGGCTTGCACACCTGGGGTGTTGGGGTCAAAGGAAACTGGTCAACAGACTCCTTCCCTGGTCAGTACCCCGTCCTCTACTCAGTCTAGGGGAGTGAACAAACGGTGCGTCACTGGGGAAAGAGGGCTTGTAGCCAGGTGGCCATACTGCCTCCTTTAGAGGGGACACCGGCCATCAGGAAGCCTCTCCATGCTCTCAGGAGATGGTGGGGGGAGGGGGTCCCAGAGGAGTTGGAATCATGGGCCTACCACCCATTGCTGCAGGATCCCACCCCTGCTCCCGGTGGCTCTGTAGCTGTTGTCATCCTGTCCCCAACTGGGTGTGCAGGCTCGTAAGACTAAAGAGCTGGCTTGGGTCAAAGGCCACCCTCCGATGAGTGGGGACTTGACTGTCCCATCCCTTGATGTCCCACAGGCACCTAGCCTCTCCCTGCTGTGTGTGTCCAGGTCAGAGGACGACAGCTTGGGAGAACCTGCTTTTGGATTGAATTCCTGAATTCAAATCACATCTCACCAGGGTGAAATTTTAACTTAAAAATTTAAAAACGAGACTTTTCTAACTTCCCTGGTTTCTGGTGCTTTTATTTGCCTTGGTAGGAAAAGCTGTGTCTTTGGGGTTCTATCTGTGCTGTGGTCAGAGAGGGGCCATTTCCATTTGGCTAGTGTGGCTATTTCCTGACAAAGGGTACCTGCCCCGGGGTGTCAGTTGATACAAGTAAGGGCAAGTCCTGTCCTTGCTGTACCTTTCTCCAACCTTTTATCCTTGGATCTCTCGGCCTGGAAGCCATTTTCCTGTGCCATGGGCAGGGCTGCTGTTCTGACATGGGGTTTCCCTGTGGATGGCTCCCTCAGGCCCACCTCCATGCTTCCCACCTGTACTGGATCACTGTGGGGCCTGTTGGATATATAGCCGTGACCCAAACATCAACCAAGGCTGATTGGGAGCCGCAGGTGCTGGCAGTTCCCAAGCCAGCTCCCTGTTCCCCTTGGTGTTCAGGTGGGTGAGGTAAGGTCTGCTTGCCTAGCTGTGGCAGCAAGCGCCTGCCGTGTAAGCTGGGGTGGTTCCTGGAGCCCTGCTTGGCAGCACCATGCCCAGGTGAGTCTTAATGCTTGCCCTTCTGCCCCTCACCTCTCCTGTGGTCTCCGAGGGACCAAGTGCTAGGAAGCAGAACTGGGGTGGGGGCCTGGGAAGATGGGGACCAAAGTGAAGTGAAACTTCTGGGGCCCAGTCGGGCAGTCGCCCTGCCCTGCCCCTTGGCTTCTCACATCTTGTTTTTCTTGGGGGGCACCCCCCTGGTAGAGCATTGCAGTGGGCCTAGCTGTCCTCCCCTGAATGTGGCACATGGCTGGGCCTGGAAGCTGGGTTTGTCCTTTTCTGTTCTGGTTCCTGGTTGGAGCCCCCTGGGACTCCCAGCCACACCCCTACCTCGGCCACCTGTGTTTTCCCAGGCTGGAAGGGGAAACCCCTGGCAGGCATGTGGGCAGCCAGGCGGACTCCCCCAAAGGCTGCTGGGACCTGGGCCAGGGTCCACTCAGGTGTGGGGCCAGCCTCAGGGAAAGGGTGAGGCAGCCATGCCAGGTATGGAATGGTGGAGGCTGGCCTGCACAACTTGGAGAATGTGGCTCCTGTCCCTTTGTGGGCGTGGGGCAAGGCCTAGGCAAGGAGAGTTGGCTGCATCTTCCTGTGAAGCTTGTGAATTGGCCTCTAGACCTGGGAAACTGAGCCGTCCTGACATTTCACTGCCAGAGAGGCCAGGGTGAGAGAAACAGGAGCTGAGGGAGGTGGGGCTCTGTTGAGAAGAAAAGGGCACATGGTTGGGGGTGCCCACAAGGGGCTGCTAGCCAGGCTGCTCCTAGTTCATGCAGCCACAGGCATTACATGATCACAGAGTCAGGATCTCAGGAGACTGAAAAAAGAGTGAGACCATCCCTTTCAGGGGGGCACCCTCCACAACATGGCACCCCTAGCCAAGCCTGTTAGCCCCCACAGTGAGAAACCCATTTCTTGGCTGTTTCCTGCCACTCTTCCTGTGTGATTCTGTCGCCCCCTCTTCTCACACCTCAAGGTGAACATCTTGCCCCAGACATCGCTTTCTCATGTGAGGGAGTGATGGAAACTGGGTTGGGGGGAGCCCCATCTCCTGCTCTGCCTGTCTCATTTGGAGGTGAGAATAGAAACTTTGTTTTGAGACCAGTTTTTGCTGTGTAGCCTAGGCTAGCCTCCTGAGAACTGGGATTACAGGTGTACGCCACCACACCTGCCCAAAACTGCTTTGATGATTCAGGGTTTCTAGGGGCCCAAGTTGAGGCAGTCTTTTGTGGACCCCTGAGATCTGTTTGGAGGCCCAATCTGAGATTTTGCTGGATGGCAGTGGTATTGGGGGCTCACCCCTTAGAGTTGCTCCCCTCTTCCACCTGCCCAGACCAGGGGCTTGGATGACTCTAGGATAGCAGAGAGTTCTGGCTACAGGCGTGGGACTGGGTGGAGGTGAGTAAACTGGTCTGAGTGGCCAGCAGGAACAGGACAAGGAATTGAACCCATTGAACCAGAATCAAAATCCTTGCTCCCCTTTCTCTCCATCTTCCTGGCCTTGGCCGTGGCAGCCCTGCACAGGGCCCCTACATCCAGGACATACTTGCAAGTGGCCATCCACAGCAACCCACCCAAGGGGACGGTAGAACATGGTGAATGGAAACCTTCCCGGTGGGCGTGGTGGCAAGGCTTCTCCTGAAGCAGCTTCTCAGGAGCTGGTGGGGAGCGGCTGGCAGCTGTATCATCAAGTGAAGCTAGTATACAAGACACCATGGATCCCAGCCTACCCAGAATGCCCCAGGCCAGTCCCCCAGACTTGAAGACAGAGTTATAGTCAGATAAACACTGATAGGGTGTCCCCAGTCTTGAAGGCAGAGCTACTTATAGTCAGGTAAACACTGATAGGGTGTGAACAGGCCCCAGCCTGTCCCCAGGTTCCCAGAGCCAGGTCTGGAATATTGCCCCAGCTATCCTCCCTGCCCGGAATAACACTCAGCCCTTCCTGAGCCTCAGCATCTCAGATCAGCTCAGTGGGGCCTGAGTTCTAATTCTCCAACAGTAACCCAGTAATCCATGGAAAGTTCTGCCCTTTGGACCTGAAGGCTCAGGGCCTCTTGGCCAGCAGGAGCCACATGGTCACTCAGAGAAGTCTCATGGAACCCAAACTCCTTGACGTTTATTTCTAACTCTGTTCAGTGAGTGGTAGTAGACCTCGACCCTTGGGTGGGTTCCTCCAGCCCCTCGCCAGGAGGCACATCCATGGTCATGTCCAGCCCCTGTTGGCTGCCCTCCAGGCTTGCCAGATCCGTGGGGCTGGATGGCGAGGCTATATTCAACTGGGAGAGACGCCCCTCAGAGGAGATGGGCCGGACTTTCTTTTGCCGTGAGGAACCTGCAAGACAGGAAGGGCTCAGTGTGCTCTGCCTCGTTCCCCATCCCCACCAGGGTCCACTTCAGCTTACACAGGGAACTGGGGAACCCCATTAGCCAGGCTGATGGGCTGGGACACACAGAATAAGTGTTGGTAGACACTCCTGAGCAAACTTTTTTTTTTTTTTCCTTTAGTTTTTTTGAAACAGTCTCCCTGTAGCCCCAGCTGGCACGGAACTCACTTGCTATGTAGACCAGGGTGGCCTCAGTCTTACAGAGCTCCCCCTGCCTCTGCCTCCCAAGTGATGGGATTAAAGGCATGTGCCACCACACCCACCCTGGGCAAACTCTTAAGGCCCTTACAATCCTTCTGAATGGGGGGGCTGGAGAGATGGCTCAGCGGTTAAGAGCACTAACTGCTCTTGCAGAGGACCCTGGTTCAATTTCCAGCACCCACATAGCAGCTAACAACTGTCTGTAACTCCAGTTCAGAGGAATCCAACACCTTCTTCTGATTTCCGCAGGCATTGCACGGCACGTGTGCACTTACACACATGCAGACAATACACTCATACACATAAAATAAAAATAATAAATAAGGGGCTGGAGAGATGGCTCAGTGGTTAAGAACACTGACTGTTCTTGCAGAAGACCTGGGTTCAAATCTCAGCACCCACATGGCAGCTAACAACTGTCCGTAACTCCAGTCCCAGGGGATCCGACAGCCTCTTCTGACCTCCACGGGCATTGCATGACACAGGTGCACTTACCTACATGCGGGCAATACAGGCATACACATAAAAATAATAAAATTAAAAATAAATAAAATAAAAATAATCCTTCTGAATGCACAGTTAGTAATAACTGCCCTTCTGTAGGGATCCAGAAGGAACCCACCTCTTTGATAATGCTTCCTGATAATTTAGAGGCTGTTTAGGCAACATTCACACAGATAAACCCATGAGTTTTTCCATTTCACTCTGGCTCCATATTTTAAGTGATCCTCAAGTAGACAGTGGGATGTCTGAGACAAGGCAGCTAAGCTCCATGGAGGTTGCAGAAAGGCTCTCTAACTCCATTCTCCTTGGTTACCAGTGCTGGCCCTGGAGCCAAAACTGGCCTTGAATTCTAGTTCAGCCAGTCCCTATGTAACTTCAACTTCTCTGTGCCTCAGTTTCCCTTGTTGTAACGGGCAGTCGTCAGTCCCTACCACTTAGTGTGGGTACACGAATTAAAATTGGTTCATAGTTGGGGCTGGAGAGATGGCTCAGTGGTTAAGAACACTGACTGTTCTTGCAGAAGACCTGGGTTCAAATCCCAGCACCCACATGGCAGCTAACAACTGTAACTCCAGTTCCGGGGGATCCAACAGCCTCTTCTGTTCTCTTTGGGCATTGCAGGACATGTGTGCACTTACACACATGCAGGCATAACACTCATACACATAAAATGAAAATATTTTTTTTTTAAATTGCTTCAGAGGTGGAAAGCTCCTAAGTGGTACCTGGCTAGTGAGAGGCCCTTAATGAAGATATGGCACTAGGCCAACCTACTTTGTTTCCTGTCCTTTACCACATGCTCCTGCTGAATGCAAGGAGGCAAAGCCAGTACAGAACCTGGAAGGCTCTGGGCTCTGGTTCTTAATTGGGGGTGGGGGTGCTGTGTGAGTGTTGGTATCCTTGGCTCTCCTGCAAGCATTTGCAAAATGCTGTGTGTATTGAACTGCTAGAGGAGATCATCTCACTCTGTTAGATTCTCACACAGCCCTGCCTCTAAGAAGCACTGATCTAGCACTCCCTTGATGACAGGTGAGGAACAGGTCTACACTGGGGGGAGCCTGGCTCAGTCATCTGCTAGTGACCCAGACGCCTACTTTCATGTTCTAGTAAGGGCCCCAGGCCTTCAGTGGTAGAACCTTGGGGCCCCTAGCTCCCTGACTTTCCATCTGATCTAGCCCCCAGAAGACCAGGAATTCTAGGGGTTTTCCAGGTCTCGAGGCAAAGAGGGACAGCTCCAAGATAGGGTCAGGGTAAGAGATGGTGGTGGGTGTTGGTCATGTCCTGGACCCACTAGCCATTCAGGGACCATGAGCCTGGCTCTCAGAGCTTCTGTGAACAGGGAAGGATTTGGGTCTGGTGCCAGAGACCTGGGTGTATTGCTATCCCTCTGTCCTTTTGTGGAAAGTGGAACACCAATAGTTTTCACCCTACAGGTCTGGAACATACCACATATTCAGTCACTGGATTGTCTTGCTCCGCCTTCCCATCCCATCCTTTGGCTCCTAGGCCCTTGCTATCTCCATAGAAATGAAGGCATAAACCAGCACGGGCAGGAAAAGAGAGCCTTGTGGGTAGTGTTCAGGTCGCCTGGAAGGTTAAAAGAAGCTACCTGGGTTGTTGGTCAACATCTGTGCACTCTGAGGCCGAGAGGGTGGCAGGCTGCTGTTGCTGAGGGACTGTTGCCTGTGTACGTGGGGTCGGGGCTGCTGGGGCTGCTGGAGCTGCTGGAGCTGCTTGGACTTGTGCTTCGTCATCCCTGGAGCTGATGAGGGCAGTAGAGGAAAGGGTCAGCACCAAGTAACTCTCAGGGGACACATGGGTGATGGGGGAAGTGGCCAGCCTGAGCTGGAGTGGGGTCCTTTTCAATTTGAGTTTATGGCTATGCCCCTTAGAAGTGTTTCATTCGTCTACATGTCCACCAGTTCTATCTGTCCATCTACTGTCTCCAACTCATCAGTCCGTCTATCAGTCTATCCAGATTCTCTGAGGACCTACACACATCAGGGTAGGTGCTGAATGAGTTCTGGCCTAGGCTTGTGGTTCAGGAGGGGGTTACAACAGAAGCCTGCAAGGCACGATGGGAAATTATCAGCTGTATCTTCCAGGTGTGAGAAGTTGGAAGTGGGCCTTCAGGAGCCTGGGAGATCACCCCATGTTGGAATTAGATAATGGTATTTTGCCGAATTTTGAAAAGTTAATTAGGGCTTGGCGATGTTGATATAGAGAACAGAGGTGGAGGCTGGAAAGCTCAGCTATGGTGGTGTGAGGATGGAGTCCAGAAAGAAGGGATGGGCCCCACCACCCTGCTGCTCCCTGCCTGCCAACAACCACCTGGCTTTCGGGAGGCCCAAACATTTAGAGAAGGAAAGTACTCAGGGTCCAGTGGCCCAAGACATTCCCAACCTACCAGGAGATACATGGATGTCCCTTGGAACCCAAGTGCACTCCCTCAAGGAACTTGGGGCTACCTGGACACTCACAGTCTTTGGTCAGGATGCCTGGAAGCCTCGTATCCATACGTCCTTTGTAAATGTGTCCGTCAAGGCCCAAGATATCAACCTCATCATGCTGGGGAGAGGCATGCATATTGGTTATCATTATAACATCAAGAGTAACTTCCAGGAAGGCCTGGGGTGCTCAGAACCCTCCTTGGGAGCAGGGGCTTGGGGGCACATGCCTTTAATCCTAGCAAGTGGGATACTTGAGACAGAAACCTTGCAAGTAAGAAGCTAGCCTGAGCTACATAGCTAGTACCAGTCCAGTCAGTGCTACATATAGTAAGACCCAGTCTCAAAAAAAAAAGAAAAAAGAATCCTCCCTGGAGTCTGTGCTTTGTACCAGGCCAGAATGCAAAGTGGAATGAGGTGGGAAGTGGTATTCTGAAGCCTGGGGTGGAAGGCATATAGTTTGAGATCATCCTGGTTGACATAGAAAATTCTAGGCTAGCCAGAGCTACACAGTGAGACACTGTCTAAAAGAGGGGAAAAAAATTAAACTGCCCCAAGGTAGGCCTGGAGGTGCAAACCTGTAAATCCTAGCTATCTGAGGGGCTAAGGCAGGAGGGTCACAAGTGCAAGGCCTGTCTGGACAACTTAGTAGTGAGAAGACCATGTCTCAATATAAAAAGGGAAAAGAGGTTAGGGATGTAGCTCAGTGGTAAAGTGCTTGCCTAGCAATCATGAAGCCCTGGGTTCAATTCCCAGTACAGGGAAGAAAAAGGGAAGGAAACGAGGGAGGAAGGGAGAGGGTCTCAAGGCAGAGGACTAGGAATGTGGGGCCTGGCAGGGCTGTCCTCCCATGGTCCCCAACAGACCTTCATGGTGATCTGGATCTCCTCCAGTGGGGACAGATGCTGCATGCGGTTTCGGCGGTAGGGGTAGGTGAGGGTGTGGCTGCCCCCACAGCGCCGAGGCACAGTGGAGTAAGTGTAATCTGCTGAATCTGCGCCCCTAGGATGCAGACACAGGGGGTCATTTTGAACTACCAGGAATGTTACCTGGAACATCTCTATGGTGGCAGGACTGGACAGAGGACGTGTGCTACTCCCTTGAGGGGTCTTCCAGGAATCTGGGTAGGGATCCAGGGACTGGCAGGTGAGTGAGCCTGGGGGCCACACACACCACACACAAGCAGCCCTCTTACACACACACTCTTATAGTACACCCTCACATCTCTCTACGTCCACACCCTGGGCAAGCAGAGGCCTGTGTACCCCTGGACTCTGTCCCCCTACCGTTTGTAGCAGGGGTGGTCGAGGCACCGAGCTTGTAGCAGCTCTCGGATCATCTGGCTGCTGGCCTTCATGGAGACTCCTAAGTGGATCTGCACCTTCTCGATGTCCATCAACACCTTGGAGTGCATGGTGCGCAGTCGCCCCACACCCCTCTCCATCTGTGACAGGTCACCCCGAGGGAAGCTGCCACCCAGCTTCAGGCTGTGGGGCCGAGGCGGAGGGGAATAGATCAGTCCAGACAGAACCCTGGAGGCACATTTCTCCTGGACTTTGTGTCCCAACTTGCTTTGGCTCCAGGCCCTTGTTCTGCGGAACTCTGTATGAACTGAACCAGCATCTATGATGGGCTAGAGGCCCACAGGCTCTTGGCCAAGGACTGAGGGCCACTGGGCAGTTTGGCACCTATGAGGCAGACTTGCTGAGCAAAAGCAAAAGCACTCTCCCCCAAATAAAATAAACAAAATGTAATTAAAAAAAAAAAAAAACCCCAATCTAGTGGCCTCCATCCTGACCCTGAGCAGGAGACACTCCCAGGGTGTCCTCTGGAATCAAATCTGTCCATCTCCCACTCTAGCCCTGCCCAGGGTCCCACTGTCCCATACTTGCGGCTCTGTTGGCGAACCTGCTCTAGCTCAAACACAGTGTAGGGCCGGATGGAACGGTGGCCAGGCAGACCAGGACCCACAGGGGTCACAGGGATGACTCTGGGCAGGAACAGAGAGGAGGGTCAGGGTGTGAGAATCCCACCACTCAGCCACACCAGCCACCTGATCCCATGTCCCACTGCTCAGTTTGATTCCCTAGGAGGGACGAGGGACAGATGCAGACCCAGGACAAGAGGTGAGGTGGGTGAGGATGGGGAGATACGTTCCTGCTGTGCTGCCCCATCCCGGGCACCAGCCACAGCCAGTGAGGTGTGGGCACTTACTGTCCAGTCACAGGCATCTCCAAGGGACGATCACAGGAGAGGCAGTGGAAATGAGCCAAGAGCTGCCTGTCAGGAATGGGATGCACAGAGGGTGAGAACCAGAGGGCTTGGCCCATTGTAGGACAGGCCAGCTGGCAGCTCAATTCATACGGCAGATCCTGGCCCCGCTTCCCGGGAACTCACCTGGTCCGAGCGATCCCTTACACACGTCCTAGATCTGACATCTAACCCTGAAGTCTGCAAGGTTTCTCTGGACCAGAGGGTACCTCGTGTATGGCTCTAGTGCCCCCTCGTGGCCAAGGATGGGACTTCCTCGGTCAGGTTCCCAAGGGGCAGGCTCAGTTCTTAGACTTTAGACATCTCCCGGTCCCAGAAACCCACCTCCTCCACTCCCGTTCATTTGAAGGGAGTTCTTATAACTCTAAAATGCAGTCCCTCCGCTCATATGAAAGCCCTGGGCGTATAGGCCATGCGCTCTTCGCCTGGGGTTGCACAGCCAGCCGCCTGCTCTGCCCAACAGAACCTGACAGCCTCCCCAGAGTCTTCCCAGCCCCACCTCCGCATGGCGGCTGCCTCATCCGCCTGGTAGAGCGGCGAGCGCTCTTTGAGCTGCTGCTTCAGGGATTTCCAGCGATCCTCCAGCAGTTGCTTCACTGGGTCCAGCTCCAGGCGGTCCAGCTGGGAAAGGGACACCTGGTCAGCGTTGGGGAAGACGGCGAACGGGTCCTGGGGGCAGGACCTTGGCAGGGGAGAGCAGCCCAGCCCACCCTGCGTCTCCTCTCGCCTTCACCTTGCTGTCCATCTCCGCCAGAAGTCTGTCCACCAGCTTCTGCCAGTCTTGCTCCTGTCCACTCATCTTGGCCACTAGTTCCTGCATCATGTGGTTCAACTGCTCCGTGGTGGCATCAAATTGGATCCTGCTCACTTTAGACTCCAGGTCGCTCTTGTTGGCTTTCTGTGTGAGAGGGTGGCGTAGGAAGAGGTCTTCCTTCAGGTGCGCACCCCATTCCCTCTGCTGGCCCCGCTCCCTGGCTGGAGAGAAGGCCGGACTCCTGTGGCCTGGCACTCACCACATCCATCTCCACGAACAGGTGCTCCCTATCGGCCTTTTCCTTCTCCAGCTTCTCTAGACCGTGGTACAGCACCTAGGGGCCCAGGAAACAGAGAAGAACCAGCCAGCAGCTGAAGCAGGGGTGGATGGGTGGGTGAACTTCATTTCCCCCGGGCGCCCTGTGGCCACTCACCTCAATGTCCTTCTGCTTCTGCCGATGGTCCTCAATGAGGTTGCTGGTGGTGATGTTCAGCTTCTCACAGTCACCCTGCACTTGCAGAATGGCGCTTTGCACGTGGCCCAGCAGCTCCTCGTCCTGCAGCAGGATTGAGAGCGAGGATCTCTGAAGCTGCTGGACCAGCCCTTCTTTAGAAACACCACCAGGGCTGGAGAGATGGCTCAGTGGTTAGGAGCACTGGCTGCTCTTGCAGAGGACCTGGGTTCGGTTCCCAGCACCCACATGGCGGTAACAACGGTCTGTAACTCCAGTTCCAGGGGAATCCAACGCCCTCTTCTGCCCTCCACAGGCATTGCATGACATGAGTGCACCTACCCACATACAGGCAATACACTCATACACACAAAATAAAAATAATAGAATTTTTTTTTTAGGTCTTTTTGAGACAGGGTCTTCCTGTAGCCCCAGCTGTCCTGAAACTCACTATGTAGACCAGGCTGGCCTTGAACTCACAGAGATCCGCCTGCTTCTGCCTCTGCCTCCTGAGTGCTGGGACTAAAGGCATGTGCCACCACGCCCGGCAGAATATTAAAAAAAAAAGAACTTAGAGGGGCTGGAAAGAAGGCTCTGCGGTTAAGAGCACTGACTGCTCTTACAGAGGACCTGGGTTCGATTCCCAGCACCCACATGGTGGCTACAAACCGTCCTTAGCTTCAGTTCCAGGGGAACCTGAAGCCCTCTTCTGACCTCCTCTGCATTGTGCACATACAGGCAATACACTCATACACATAAGATAAAAATAATAAAATATGAAAAAATAACTTAGAATGCCACCCAACAGCCAGGTGTTGTGGTGCCCACCTACAATCTCATCAGGAAGCTGAGGCAGGAGGATTGTGAGAAGTGTGGGCTATATAGTGAGATGAGACTGTCTAAAAAAAACAAAAGGCTGGTTTAGTAGGTAAAGGTACTTGCTGCCAAGCCTGACCGTGACGACTGAGTTCAATGCCCAGGATCTACATAGAAGAGAACCGATTCCTACAAACTGTCCTCTGACCTCCACACATATGATGTGACATCTGGGCGTGGTAGCATACATCTTCTTTTCTTTGAGACAGGGTCTCCCTGTAGCCCCAACTGGCCTGGAACTCGCTATGTAGACCAGGCTGGCCTTGAACTCACAGAGATCCACCTGCCTCTGCCAAGGTGTGGGCTACCACACCCAGCTAGTAGCATACCTCTTTAATCACAGCACTAGGGAGGCAGAGGCAGGTGGATCTCTGTAAGATCAAGGACAGCCTGGTCTCTATAGTAAGTTCCAGGACATCTGGGGCTATAGGGAGACTGTAGCTCAAAAAACCAAAACGAACCGAACAGCCAAACAGCAAACCCACCAACCAAACCAAACTCCCATCCAGCACACTGTTCACTTCAGACCCATCCACCCTTCCTCAGTACCATTCACTGATAGTTGTTCCCCAACCAGATGTGGTCACCAATTCTCCCAGTCCCTTCCTCATGGACTGGCCTCAAGGGACCTAGGGTGATCGAAGAGGTGACCAAAGCTCAGATGTGATGTAATGTCTCAAGGCTTTGGGAAGTGAGGTATGGGTGACACTCTGAACCAAATCTGAATTCCTGTGTCCAGAGGGCAGAAGTCAAGATCTTAGGGTGTTCCTGTCCCCCACCAACAAGGCTGCCCACTGGGGGGAAAACTAGAAGGGTAAGAAAGACTTGCATGTGACAGGAGACAATGTCTCCTGAGGCAGTTCCTATGTCCTTGTGATTCATGAATGGCATCCTTGCCCCCCTGGCCAACCCACTGAGTCTGCCCTTCCATAGTCTCCTGTCCCCAAAGCCAGCTATGCTGCTGTCCTTGCTATGACCCTGTGGAAGGACCATGGGCTTTTGAGGGATCTGGCCAAAGGGCCCCACCATGTAAAAGTGACTCTCAAGCTCACACACCCCTTCCTGGAGAGTGCTGTCAGCCTTGCGGTCTCCACTGGGGGCCACGGGATGAATGCCCTGTGTGAAAAGGAAGCAGAGATTCACCTGGCTCTGGAGCTTGGCCTTCTTGGAGGGCCGGGAGGCAGCCAGGGTATTGACCATGTCCTGCAGCTGCTCGTAACGCTGCACCAGCAGGCTGACCTGATGACCCAAGTCCAGACTGCAGGCTGGGCAGGTGGCCTCGGGGTCAATCTGGCCAGGCACCAGGGCGGTTGTGGACTTGTGAGGGGTCATGCTCAAAGACAGCAGTGTGGAGGAGGAACTCAGCATGCTCTCGATGATGGTCCTGAGCTTGTCTAACTGGATGCAGGAGAGAAACGAAGAATGGGGCAGGTCACAGCCATGTCTAACTATTGGTGTGAGTGGCATTTTCTGCCTCTTCCCTGTAGTGAGAACAAGGCACATAGAGATAGTCCATCTCAGCCATCAAAATAGTTCCATTTTTCCAAAAGTGGGCATTATTTTTAAATTTATTTATTTTTATTTTATGTGTATGAGTGTATTGCCTGCATGTGTGTAAGTGCACCTGTGTGGTGCAATGACTGCAGAGGACAGACGAGGGCCTTGGAGCTCCTGGAACTGGAGTTATGGGCAGTTGTTAGCCACCATGTGGTGCTGGGACTTGATCTCAAGTCTTCTGCAAGAGCAGCAGGGCTCTTAACTGCTGAGCTGTCTCTCCAGGCCCAAAAAGCAGGCATTATTGACAAAGAAAACCATCTATGGGAGGGAGGTTTCCTTCAGTCACTCTATAGGTTCCAATGTGAGGACACACCTCCTGTGGCGACTATCCTCACTACCCCCATAAGGGGGACTCTGATGACACACAGGCTCTCCCAGATGGGATATGGACAGTGGGCTTGCACATGCTCTGTCCTGCCTGGCATATAGCACTAACAATAAAGAGGTATGGAAATGCAAACACTGCTGCAGGGAACTCTCGGGGTCTGGGAGTGCAAGCCCCTTCCAGGCAGAGCTGCTGGCCCTCCTGCTTGCCTCCATTTCCCAAGTTCTCAGCTTGTTACCAGTAATGATTGTTCCTGAGTGGATAGCTGGATTCAAGAGCAACCAACGTGGACCTGCCAGGGATGCTGCATGGCTCCAAGAAGGAGCATAGCCAAGCAGCACCGTCCCCCTTCCTAGTGGGCAGTGAAGCCAAAAAGACTTTTCAGGGCTCAGAGCAGCTATTTGGGATTGAGTGTGAAAGACAGAGAAGTTATTTGAGGGTAGAACGGAAGAGAGGAATGTGGACAGGCCAGGAGGAGTGAAGGAGGAAATGCACACATGCACAGCCAGGCCCAGGAAAACCAGAGTGGGGTCTGCCTCAGACTGCACCAAACTGCAAGTTTCCTCTCTAGCTCTTGGTAGGAACATGCTCAGTGCCTCTCCCTCATGCCCTGGGCTCCTAGAGTCTGCAGCTTGCTATGGAAGGGCCCTGTACCAAGGCCAGTGCAGCAGATAGATGGCTGCTGGGGTGGAAAAAGGCATGTCATTCTCAAGAGTAAAAGAGTCTTCTCAGAAAAGGTGGGTGACTCACTGGAGTCTTCAAGAATACAAAGTGGCTCTCTGAGTAAATTAGGGCGGGAAAGACAGCTCAGAAAGAACAGTGCAAGAAGGCCAGGTGGGCGGTGTGGGTGGGACACTTCTTCCCCGAGAGGCTGCAAAAGAAGCAGGAGCCTTGGTGCTTGCCTAGGAAGTCTGAGTTCCATCCAGCCCTGCAAAAAGAAAACAAAAACAAAAAGCCTGCAAAGGAGGCTAGGGGGTTACGGTGAGGGGGTGGATTGTCTCCTTGTTCAGTGTGGCCCTGGGAGGCCCTGGAGGTTGCCAGCTCAGATGTGAGCTTTGGACTGGCTGGTGACCTGTGAGTCTCTGAAGCTCCTCCCATACCATGCTAGACAATCAGCTCAAAAGTCATGAGATTCTACAGGCCGTCCTTCGAGGAACTTCGGACGGGGAGAATGAGGGTATCACCCAGTAAATGAGCACTGTCTGGCACACAAGGCCTTGAGGTTGCTATATCTCCAGTAACACACACACACACACACACACACGTGAAATGACCACCAGAATAAATATTTATAAGTCATATTTCAAATAAAAATCTAGTTTTCTGGGGCTGGAGAGATGGCTCAGCAGTTAACACTGGTTGGTCTTACAGAAGACCCAGGTTCGAATCCCAGTACCCACATGGCAGCTAACAACTGTCTGTAACTCCAGTTCCAAGGGATCCAATGGCCTCTTCTGTCCTCTGCAGGCATTGCACCACACACGGACACACAGACACACACAGACGCATAATTAAAAATATAAAAATAGGCCAGGCATGGTGGCGCATGCCTTTAATCCCAGGTTGGCAGATCTCTGTGAATTTGAGGCCAGCCTGGTCTCCATGTGAGTTCCAGGACAGCTGGGGCTACAGGGAGACCCTGTCTCAAAAAAACCAAAATAAATAAATAAATAAATAAATAAATAAATAAATAAATAAATCTAAAAAGAGAAAGGCTAAGTTAGGGAGGGTATGGAGAAACTGCAACCCTCAGACATTGCTAATGGTAATCTCCCATGGTGTGGTCACTTTGGAGAACAGTCTGGCACTTCCTCCAATGATCGTAGTTACCATGACAACCAGCAGTTCCATTCATGGAGAAATGAAGCACGTTTACACCAACACTCGTACATGACAGTCCATAGCAACATTACTCTATGAGCTAAGAGGTGGAGATGACCCAGATGTTCTTCAACTGATGAACGGATCCAGAAACTGTGGCATAGGCACACAATAAAAATGGATGCCGTACTGCCCATCCTTGTTGCAGCCCCTACCTCAGTGATGCTCCGCAGCGTGAGGAGAGTTGAGCTGCATGAGGATGGGACTATCTAGCAAGGGAGAGGGACATGGCTGTATTATCATGATGGTTTCTCCCCTACTCCTGCACCCAGGTCTAAGAAAGAGACAGTAGGCCTGGATGCTCTGGGACTGGGAGACAGGGCGAGTACCCTACTAGGGTCTCTGGAATCTGTGCCCCAACCCCTCCATGTTTCTGAGTAAAGTATTGGCCCACCACGGTCTGTGCATGAGGTGGGTGGAGAAAGGTGGAACTGTTCCTCCAGGCCCAACAGTTACCATGGAGCCAAGAGAGGCAATAAGCCTAAACGAGTTCCTGGGACTGAGTTGGGGGGTGGTTATTGTCTCACCCCTGGCTTCAGGCTTGAAAGGATCCATAAAAACACCTGTGACCAAACAGTACTGTATTTTGAAGAGCCTTGGAGGTCAGTGGGGTGAAGGACAGAAACTTACAGCACTGCGTGGAGAGAGCTAAGCACTTCATTATGGAAGTATAGCAATTCAGTGCCATGCTCCAAGTGTCCGTCCCCATTTCTGCAGACGTGGACACAGACAGAGGCAGTGAATGGCAAAGGAGGAACATGTGAATAGGCAATTGCAGTTCAGTGTCAACTGGAACTGTGGTGTGGGAAGGTCTCAAGCTGAATCTTGAAGGTCAAGGGGAAAAAAATGCAAAACAGATACATGATACAGCATGGACAGACCTTGAAAAGAGACCACACTGGCCAGGAGTGGTGGCGCACGCCTTTAATCCCAGCACTTGGAAGGCAGAGGCAGGTGGATCTCTAAGTTCAAGGCCAACCTGGTCTTCATAGTGAGTTCCAGGTCAGCTGGGGCTATAGGGAGACCTTGTCTCAAAAAAAAAAAAAAAAAAAAAAAAAAAAAAAACACCAAGCCAAACTAAAAGAAAAAAAAAACAGCAAGAGATGGATGATGATTGATAGATGATAGAAAGCTCATGAGTGGTGATAGGTGGGAACTGTGGCACAGGGAGGATGTAGGGGACAGACAGGACTTTCTGTGTGTATGTGTTTTTGAACAGAGTCTCCCTGTAGCCTCAGCTGGCCTGGAACTCACTATGTAGACCAGGCTGGCCTCCATCTCACAGAGATCCACCTGACTCTGCCTCCCAAGTGATATTAAAAGTGTGCGCCACCATGCCTGGCTAAAAAGGTGAGTTTCGATGTGAATTACTGAAGGAAAACAGCCAGTGGATAGTGCTGGGTCCCATAATCTTCAGAAATCTGACCTTGCATCAAGATGGGGCTGAGTCCTCACCCTTCCCTCCTGACATACTGTTGTAGTTTGAATAAGAATGTCCCCCATGGATAGGCTCATGTATTTGACCACTTGGTTCCCTCCCCCTCAGTTGGTGGCAACGTTTGGGGGACCTTTAGGAGGTAGAGACCTGCCAAAGGAAGTATACCACGGGGCAGGCTTTGAAGGGTTATAGCCTTGCCCCGCTTCCTGTTTTCTCTCTCTGCTTCCTGCTACTGCCACCACACGTTTCCTGTTGCCATGGCTTCCCCACCATAAGGGACTCTAGACCTTTGGAAGGGTAAGCCAAAATAAACTCTTTTCTCCTCTCCATTGTTTTTTTAAAAAAATATTTTATTATTTTTATTTTATGTGTATGAGTGCACTGCCTACATGTATGTGAGTGCACCCGTGTCGTGCACTGCCGCGGAGGTCAGGAGAGAGCTTTGGATTCCGGCACAGCAACAGAAAAATTATACAATACACACCAAGCAGGGGCTGGTTTCTAAGTGGCAAGAGGGCATGGCTGCCCACCATCTGCAGCCGACTCTGAGAGGGGCCCTTGGGCTCTGTGCACAGACTGCTCACCTGATCCTGCAGGTAAAGGGAGGCTTCACAGACTGAATTCTCCATGGCAGCCTTGCCTCGCTCCTGGCCCTCTCTCAGCTCAGCCAGCTCCTTCTCAATGTCAGACACAGTGACTCTATGATGCAGAAAAGACCACCTGGCTCCATTGCAGCCCAGAGCCCTGAGCCCAGTGTGCAGAGGACTGGTTGTTGGGGACATAGCAGGAGAACTCCAGGGAGCTTTATCTATAGTCTCAGATTGTCCTTCTGTTTTAGAGGGGCCACCTGGTATGCTGGCCAGTGGTGGAGACACAGCTCAAGGAGGAACAGTGGAAGGACCATCTCTAAACTCCTTCCAGCCCTGTTGCCAAGCTGTTTAGGAATGTGGGGGAACTTCTACCCAACTTTAAACAAGACCAGGGCAACCTGAAGTGCTAGGTCAAGAGACAGCTGTCAGTGCAGGGCATGAAGGCTGCCTCCATTGCCTCGGCTGAGCAGGAATGTCAGACCCAACAGCAGCTGTGAGGGGTAAGGTGTCACCTGAGGGTGCCTAGCTGCAAGCTCAGCTGGCTAGGCTTCAAGTCCTTCTCTCCAGGAGGGCCTTCACCTTCCAGAAGCCTTTGTATCTTGTCCAGCTATAAACACAAGGGAAACAGAGGGTCAGACAGGCCTGAGTGTCCACTTCCTGAAAGTGGCCCTCTGGACATCCAGCCCTCTGTGTGTCTCATGGATAAAGTCACTAGCATGGAGACCTAGCAGTCTCTTGCAATGACCTCTGGCTCCAGAAAGTCCCTAATTAGGCTCCAAGGCTGCCTTATTCATTGACCCACCTATATCTTAATGGCTGAGTATCATTTTCACAATGGATACATGGGCTGTGTTTCCTATGTGATGGAATGGTAAGGACCTACTGAGATCACAGTGTATGGGAAGAGGCTATGTAATCCAGCAAAAAAGAAATGGTTACATGCTCTAATTCCCCCTAAAATCCAAGGAGGCTGATCTTCCTTTACGTACTTTGGCCTTGTCCTGCCGAACTTCTTTGTTCAAGGATTTTAGGGTCTTGAGCTGCTCCTGCAGGTCCTGGGGCATGGCCTTTCTGACTGTGAAATGTGGAAGCTGTTTTCAGAAGGACTGGGCTCCCAATAGACTCCCAACCTCTGCTTTCAGGCCCTTGATGGTGAAGTGACCCCAGAGTTCAAGTGAACATATCACTTTATCCTGCTTTCCCTGGCGATCAGAGCAAAGAGGTAGGCGAAGTGGGGGAGAGCCATCCTTTGTCCGCAAAAATCTCACCTACTGCTCTAGCATTTCCATCACAGTCAAGAGTTGTGACTGGCAAATGGTAAGCCTCTTTCTCCAATGTCCTCTCTCCCTGCCTACCTTCCTACACCTCCCCCTGCTGCCCGGACAAAGGCCTAAGAACCTGTTCAATTCCTCTCCTGGGTCTGCCTCAGTCCTGCTGGCTGAGTTTCTGCCTTTGCCACCTATTCATCTGGCACCCTGCAGGCTGCAGGAGAAGCTGGTCTATGTGTGATTACACTGTTCTTAGGAGGTCAGAAGGCCCAGCAACTGAGAGCTGGGGCCCAGGGGGAGAGAAGGCTAACACCAACATAAAGCAAGGTTATGTTCCCGCTACGGGCAAAAGGTACTCACTCATCAGTGACAGCAGGTACTGGATCTTCTCTAAGTCAGTCTGGCCAGCGTGCTTCTCATCCAGATCCTTTGTGTTTTCCTTCAGCTCTACATAAAGGCCAATGAGCTCACCCATCAGACGAAATGTTTCCACGGCCGTGGGGAAGTTTGGTGCCAGTTTCTCCAATGAATCCTTACGCTCACTATGGGTCTCACTTTCTGACCTGATTTGTTGGAGATGGCTAAAGGAGCCTCGACTCCTGGAATAGGTGACATCTTGGCCTGGGGCAGTCTGGGCAGCACGATCATATTGGACTGAGCCAAGTCTTCTGCTTGGATCCCAAACTCGGTGGCCAGACTCATCACCTTGGTACTCCGGGCCGGGGTAGTCCGCGCCAGCATCTGTTTGAACATACTGAACTGCACCTGGGTATATCCGGCCTTCTTGACCTGGGCCAAGTGATATCAGTTGCTGTTGATCTGGGAGCGTGGATCTCAAACCCGTGCTTAATGGTCTGGGGCCCAGCTGGTCTATGCCACGATGTGTTCTACTTTGCCTGGCTTGACCATGGTCATATTTTTCTTGGTCAGGAGGAACTATAGAGGGCTGATATGGGTGGGGTGATCTCATATTCTGAGAATCTATCTGGAGTCTTGAAAAGCCATGAAGCTCTACCCTTGGTGTTATGAAGCCTTGTGGTCTTGCAGTGGGTTGTCTGAAACCACGTGGATATGCACTAGGTTGAGAAAAACCACAAGAAAAAATACCAGGTTGGATGAAACCAGGAGGATATACACCAGGTTGAGCCATATCAGGCATGTGTGCCCCAGGGTGAACCAAGCCACAGGGATCTGTACTAGGCTGACCAATTCCAGGTTGCTTAATGCCAGACTGAACTGTCCCAGTCTGCAGTAAACCAGGCTGAACTGCCCCAGGCTACAGTAAACCAGGCTGCAGTGAGCCAAGCTGTTCTGCCCCAGGCTGCATTGAGCCACGCTGATCCATGCCAGGCTGCACCAAATCAGAGTGAACTATGCCTGGCTGTACCAAGTTGTGCTGATCCACGACAGGCTGAACCAGATCAGGCTGACCTTCTCCAGACTGCATCAAGCCACGCTGGGCCACCCTAGGCTGCACCAAGCCACACTGATCTGCCCTAGGTTGCACCAAACCACGGTGGTCCACTCCAGGTTGTACCAAGCCAGGTTGAATTGTACCAGGTTGCACCAAACTATGCTGATCTGTGCTAGGCTGGACCAAACCTTGCTGCTCTGCACTACATTGTGTCAAATCATGTTGACCCATTCCAGGTTGGGCCAAGTCACTCTCATCTGCACCAGGTTGGGCCAAAACATGCTGACCTATGCCAGGTTGGAGTAAACCATGTTGAGGTTGGAGTAAACCATGTTGTGCTAGACCTGGTTGTGCTAAACCAAATTGATCTGCACTAGGCTGCACAAAACCATACTGATCAGCTCTTGGCTGAACCAAACCATACTGGTCTATACCAGGCTGGACCAAACCTGGTGAATATGGATCAGGTTGCACCCAACCACTAGGAAATGCCCCAGGCTGCACCAGGTCCTGCTGACCCACGCTTAGCTGCACCACACCATGCTGATCTACACTCGGATGTACCATGCCACGCTGAGGTGCACCTGGTTGCATCATGCCACGCTGATCTACACCCACTGGCACCATACCAGGCTGAACTGTATCCAGTTGTGCCAGAGCATGCTGAGCTGCACCTGGTGGCCCCATACCAGGCTGAGCTGCATGTGGTGGTACCATGCCAGGCTGAACTGCACCTGGTGGCATCAAGCCAGGCTGAGCTGCACCTGGTGGCCCCATGCCAGGATGAGCTGCCCCTGGAGGCCCCATGCCAGGCCGAGCTGCATCTGGTGGCATTAAGCCAGGTTGATCTATACCTGGTTGTACCACACTGGGCTGAACTGCCCCTGGTTGTACCATATCAATCTGATCCACACCAGGCTGCACCAAGCTATGTGGAGTTATACTAGGTTGCGCTAAACCATGCTGATCCATCCCAGTTTGCATTAAACCATCCTGAATTGCACCAGGTTGCACCAAACCACCCCAATCTGTACCAGGCTGCACCAAATCATGCTGATCTGCCCCAGGCTGTACCACACTCTAGTAATATGCACCAGGGGGCACCAACCCATGCTGAACCTCACTTGGTTGCACTAATCCACCGGGATCCATTCCAGGTTGCAGCAAACCAGGCAGATATGCACCTGGCTGTACCAAGCCATGCTGATCTCTGCCTGGCTGACCTGTGCCAGGTTGCACTAAACCTTGTTGACTTGCACCAGCCTGGACCAAACCACGCCGATCTATACCAATTTGTGACAAATCAGGTTGAACCAAGCCAGGCTGACCTGCACCAGGAGACACCAAACCTTGGTCTGTGCCAGGCTGTACCAAACCACCCCAATCTGCACTAGGTTGTATCAAACTACGCTGATCTGTCCCAGGCTGTGCTGAACCTTGCCGACCTGCCCCAGTCTGCACTGAAACTCGCCGACCTGCCCCAGCCTGTGCTGAACCATGTCGATCTGCCCCAGGTGGCACCAAACCAGGTTGATCTGTAACAGGTTGGACCAAGCCAGGCTGATAGGCATCAGGCTGTGCCACACCATATGGATCTGCCCCAGGCGGGATAAAATCATAATATTCTCTGCCAGATTGTATAAAACCAGATGCTTGAAAACTAGGCTGTCCAAAACCTTGCTGATCTGCACTAAGTTGCATCAAACCAGGTGATACCAAGCCATACGAATCTGCAAGAGATGGAGGGAATGCCTGCTGATCCACGCCAACTGGCATCAATCCTTGCTGATCCATGGGCCATGGTCCCAGACCACTTTCAGGTATGACAGGCTGTTCCATGCTCTGTTGGCCTGTGTCAGGAAGAATCATGCCAGGCTGATATGTGCTCGGTGGAACTGTAGCAAGCTGGTCTGTACTAGGAGACTGCAGGCCTTGTCGATCCCTGCCAGGTCCCAATGTTGGCATCATGCCATGCTGGTCCATGACAAGTGGTACCAATCCCTGATCATCCATTTCTGGTGGCAGTACACCAAGCTGACCCGTACTGATGGGTACCACAGTATGTAAATAAGTGCTAGGATATACCAATGCTGGCTGATCCATGCCAGGTACTCCTAATTCATGAAGATCTGGCTTTGGGTAGACCTGACCCTGGCTAATGGGCACCCCACCATGCTGATCTCTGGCTGGGGGTAAGTCCTGAATTGGGCCAGGATGCTTTTCATCTCTTTTGGGATGTGTTGAAGGTACAGGCTCCCTAGTCCTCTGGTGATCTGTCTCTGCTGTGATCTGGGATAGCTCACGAGCCTGTGGGTGCTGATCTCTCCTGGGAAATCCAATATTTGATATTCTCTGATCTCTGCTGGTGACTCTTTCAGAGGGGTGTCCTACAACACCAGGTCCTGTTATGGTCTGTTCTGGGCCACCAGTGGAATCCAGAGCCTGCTCAGTACTTGTGCGCTTGGTAAAGACTCCACTTGGAAAGAGGTCATTTGATGTTATAGAAGACGTCATCCTGTGCCTACCAGGTGTTCCTATGGATGTTTCTGAGCTCTGGTTGAAGAAGAAAGAGAATCAGTTACAAATGAAAGATACTGTACAGGCTGATAAGAAGGAGATCTGGGGTATCTGGGATGATTTAAGGCCCTTGCAGAAAAACAAAAAACAAAAAACAAACAAAAAATACAGCTCCCTCATTCCCAAAGCCAAGATGGGGATAAAGAAAGTAGTTTTCTTTCTTTTTTTTGGCGGGGGGTCTTTTTGAGACAGGGTCTCCCTGTAGCCCCAGCTGGCCTGGAACTCACTATGTAGACGAGGCTGGCCTTGAACTCGCAGAGATCCGCCTGCCTCTGCCTCCCGAGTGCTGGGATTAAAGGAGTGCCCCACCATGCCTGATAACTGTAATTCTTTTTAAAAATTTTTATGTTAACCGGGCATGGTGGTACACATCTTTAGTCCCAGCACTTGGGAAGCAGGGGCAGGTGGCTTTCTGTGAGGTCGAGACAAGCCTAGTCTACATAGGCCAGCTGTGGCTACAGGGAGAACTTGTCTCAAAAAACCAAACAAAAACAAAAGTTTATGTGTATGAATGTTTTGCCTAGGCTGGCCTTGAACTCACTTTGTAGCCTAGAAAAGCCTTGAAGTTTCAGTCTTTGTACCTCAGTCTCCCAAGTAGCTGGGATTATAGGCCTGTTGGTTTGTTTTAGTTGAGGATGACCTTGAACTCCTGAGTTAGCACCTCCCAAGTGCTAAGACTACAAGTGTGCACCTCCGTACCCAATTTATGCAGTTCTGGGGACTAAACCCAGGGGCTTCATATACCCTAGGCAAGTATTCTACCAAACGAGCTACAGTCCCAAATCTTGGTTTGGCTTTTTTTTCCTTTGAGATAGGATCTCCCTGTAGTCCCCAGTTGGCCTGGAACTCGGCTGGCCTCCAGCTCACAAAGATCAGAGATCTGCCTACCTCAGGCTCCTGAGTATTGGGATTAAGGTATGTGCCACCATGCCCAGCTTGGTTTGGCTTTTTGAGACAGTTTCTCTTAGTAGCATAGGCTGGCCTTGAACTCGTAACCCCCCCTTCACATCTGTTGGGATTACAGGCATGTACCAAGCACTCCCAGCCCCACTGCCTCTTGTAAAAACCTTTGTAATAAAGTAATTGGACTCATCTACAAGATCTAGGGGACTCTCCCATCTCAAGATCCTTAACTTCATCGAAGCTGCAAAGGCCTTTTAGCCATTAAAAGATAACAACTGAGGTTTTTAGAAATTAGGATGTGGGGCTGGAGAGATGGCTCAGCCGTTAAGAGCACTGACTGTTCTTGCAGAGGACCCAGGTTCGATTCTCAGAACCCACATGGTGGCTAACAACTGTGTATAACTTCAGTTCAAGGGGATCCATCGCCCTCTTCTGACCTCTGAGGGCACTGCATGGCAAGGGTACCCTTACATACATGTAGGCCAAAACAACAACAACCCCCCCCAAAAACCACTCATACACATAAAATAAAAAATACAATTTTTTTAAATTAAAAAAAGAGGTCAGGTATGGTGGGTATGGTGGTGCATGCCTTTAATCCCAGCACTCAGGAGGCAGACAGATCTCTGTGGGTTCAAGGCCAGCCTGGTCTACATAGTGAGTTCCAGGTCAGCTGGGGCTACAGGGAGACCCTGTCTCAAAAACACACACACACACAAAAAATTAGGATGTGGACATCTTTGGGGTCTATTGCTTAACTTACCACAATGACTAAGGCCACATACTGTGAAATCCTAGAAAAATAGAAACAGCAGTGACAGGGGTCGTAGGGAAATGGAGTTCTAGAAAAGGTGGTGCAGTTCCTATTAAGGACATCAGATGAGACCCAGGTCTTTCTGAGGATGCCAAATGGAGGAACAGAGGAGGAGGAACTTAGGATAAATGCAACTTGGCTCAAATATTCATTGAGGGGCTGGCAAGATGGCTGGATGAGTAAAGACATCTGCCGCCAAGCCTCATGACTCATGTTCAGTCCCCAGGACCCACGTAGCAGAAGGATACAACCAGCTCTTGCAGACTGTCCTCTGATCTTGACATGCACACTGTGGCATATCCAAACACAGACATACAAAATAACTAAAATGTAATAAAATTATATAGGCATAGATCTAAAACATACATGTCCTCCAATTCCCTGCCTCAGAAATCATAATTCCTTTAAAATTATTTATTATTTTTAAAATTTTATATTTATTTATTTATTTTTGTCTTTTTTGAGACAGGGTCTCCCTGTAGCCCCAGCTGGCCTGGAACCCATTTTGTAAGCCGGGGCTGGCTCAAACTCACAAAGATCTGCCTGCCTCTGCCTTCCAAGTGCTGGGATTAAAGGCGTGAGCCACCACGCCCAGCTATTATTTTTATTTTTATGTGTATGTGTGTATTGCCTGCATGTGTGTAAGTGCATTGCACCCGTGTCATGCAATGCCCACGGAGGACAGAAGAGGCTATCGGATCCCCTGGGACTGGAGTTACGGACATTGTTAGCTGCCATGTGGGTCCTGGGATTCAAATCTGGGTCTTCTGCAAGAACAACCAGTGTTCTTAACCACTGAGCTATCTCTCCAGCCCCTTATTTATTATTTTTATTTTGTGCTTATGAGTGTATTGCCTGCATGTGTGTAAGTGCACCCGTGTCATGCAATGCCCACGGAGGTCAGAAGAGGGCATTGGATCCCCTGGAACTTGAGTTATCGACAGTTGTTAGCCACCATGTGGGTCCTGGGAACCAAACCCTGGTCCTCTGCAAGAGCAGTCACTGGTCTTAACTGCTGAGCCATCTCTCCAGCCCCCAGAAATCACAATTCTCACTACAACTGTTTAAAGAACCCAAAGTCTCCAAGAGTCTCAAAATATATTCTACATGGTTTTGCTCAAGAATTTGAAGCAGTTGATACAGATCTATTATTTTACTGTCTCACAGATCCTAGCCTGAGTAGATTCACAACTACTCTATGGGCCCATCTTTGTCTTCTCCCAGCGCTTTAAAACATTAAAAATATTTATTTTTACTTTATGTGTAGGAGTGTTTTGCTTGCATGTATGTGACTGTGCCACATGAGAGCAATGCCCGTGGAGATCAGGTCCCCTAGAACTGGAGTTAAGGATGGTTGTTAGCTGCCATATAGGTGCTGGGAACTGAACCCAAGTCCTGTCCTGAACAACCTGCATTCTTAACTACTCAGTCATCTCTTCAAGCCCCCTTTCTCCCAGTTTTGACTTCAAGGTCCTACGGAGAGTTGGTCCTTGGATTCATGAAGATTATAAGAGCAGTGTCATTTCCTGGCCATTTCTTCCATGCTTGTGGAAGCCGGAGGTGGACATCAGACCCCGGATGTCCTCCTCAGTCTTTTTCCACCTTATTCTTTTTGTGTTTTGTTTTGTTTTTTGAGACAGGGTCTCCCTGTGGCCCCTGCTGGCCTGGAACTTGCTGTGTAGACCAGGCTGGCCTGGATCCCACTGAGATCCACCTGCCTCTGTCTCCCAAGTGCTGGGACTAAAGGTGTCCACCAATACAGCTGATACTACCTTACTCTTTTTGAGATAAGAGCTTTCCCTGAACTTGGAACTCACCAATTCAACTTACAGGTAGGCTGACCCGCAAGCCCAAGGATCTTCCTATTTCCAGTTCCCCAACACTGGGATGCAACACTGGACACCCAGCTTTTGTGTGGGTGGTGGGGGCCTAGGGTTCTCAGGTTTGTGCAGTAAACATTTTATTGACTCTTTCCCCAGCTTGCCCTGACCATTTAAAACTCCTTCAATAATGGCTACGACTTTTTTTCCCCTTCCTGTCTCTCAATGGAGGCCTACAAAATAAAGTTTCAGTGTTTGCTTCTATTTAGCCTGCCAGGCCACCAAAGCTTGGCATATCTTAGGCATGTTATTTCTACATACCCTCCAGGACCTCAGTCTTAGTAAAGGAGTCCCTAGAGGATATTCAGTTACACTGCAGTTACATGTCCCTGTGGTGGTGCTTGCTGCCTTGGCCACAGGAAGCTGAGAAAGCAGTTTCTCCTCTTATGAAGTTTTTTTTTTTTTTTTTTTTTTTTTCCTTTCTGAGACAGGGTCTCCCTGTAGCTCCAGCTGGCCTGCAGCTTGCTCTGTAGACCAGGCTGACCTTGAACTCAGAGATCCACCTGCTGCTGCCTCCAGAGTGCTGAGATTAAAGGTGTGTGCCACCACGCCCGGCTTTTAAGGAAGTTTTTTTTTTTTAACACTTTTACTTTTATTTATGTGTTTGCATGTGGGTATTCATATGTTGTTTGTGGGTGCCAGTGAGGTATTCACAGGTTTGTGGGTGCCATTGAGGTCAGAAGAGGGCATTGGAGCCCCTAGAGCTAGAGTTACCGGCAACTGTGAGCTGCCTGATGTTGGTGCTGGGAACTGAACTCTGGTCCTCTGGAAGAGCTGTAAGCACTCCTAACCACTGAGCCATCTCTCTAGCACTGAAGGGAGTATTTATTTATTTATTTATTGTTTGTTTGTTTGTTTGTTTGTTTTCAGTGCTGAAGATGAAATCCAGCTAGGTAAGCATCCCCAGCCCCCCTTTTTTCTTAAACTTTATTATTATTTATGTGTGTGTGTGAGTTAACACATATGTGGAAGTCAGAGGACAACTTTGTGGGAGTCAGTTCTCTACTTACATCATGTGACTCCCAGGAATCAAACTCAGGTCACCAGTCTTGGTGGCAAGCGCCTTTACCCACTAGCCATCTTGCCAGATCCCCCAAGGATCTTTCGAGACAAGGTCTCACTCTGTAGCCCAGGCTAGTCTCTAACTTTAAAATTTTTTTAAAATTTATTTTTATTTTATGTGTATGAGTGTTCTGCCTGCGTGTATATAGGTGCACCCATGCATGCAATGCCCTTGAAGTCAGAAGAGGGTGTCAGATCCCCTGAAACTGGAGTTATGGACAGTTGTTAGCCATCATGTGGTGCTGGGACTCAAACCCAGGTCCTCTCCAAGAGTAGTTAGTGCTCTTAATGCTGAGGTATTGCTCCAGCCCCTGGCCTTTAACTTTTGATCTTTCTGTATCAGTCTCTGGTTGATGTTACAGGTATGTACCACTGTGCTCACTGTACTCAGCAAGCAAGCACTGATGACAGCTTGGAGCTCTGGGGTTGGGTTTTCCTCATTACAGCAAGTCTTTTCCTTCCTTCCTTCCTTCCTTCCTTCCTTCCTTCCTTCCTTCCTTCCTTCCTTCCTTCCTTCCTTCCTCCCTCCCTCCCTCCCTCCTTTTTTCCTTTCTTTTCTTTTTTCTTTTCTTTTGAGACAGTGTCTCACTATGTATCCCTGACTGGCCTGGAACACACTATGTAGACCAGGCTGGCCCTGAACTCACAGAGATTCACCTGCCTCTGCCTCCCAAGTGCTGGGATTAAAGATGTGTGCCACTTAGCTCAGCAGGGCAGTTAGAAGGAAAAAGAAGGAGGAGGAAGAGGAGGAGCATCATCCTATCATCCTTACTATCTTGCAGCAGAGGAACAAAGTACCCAGATGAGACATGCACAGTTCAAGGCCAGGCTGTGCCACACAGCAAGACCTGGTCATTCAAAATCAACATACATGAGTGTCTAAAGATTTATTTATGTCTGTGGCTATTCTCTGCTGCCTCCCTGAAAAAACAAAAAAAACATGATAATGGTATAGCATAAAAAGCCCTTACTACAGCACTCGGGAGGCAGGGGCAGGAGGATCTCTGTGAGTTTGAGGCCAGTCTGGTCTACACGGTGGGTTCCAGGTCAGCTGGGGCTATAGGGAGACCCTGTCTCAAAAAAAAAAAAAAGGCAAAAAAAAAGAAAGAAAGAAGAAACAAGAGAACAGAAAGCATGGAGGTAGAGGCCCACCGTGGGGGCACTTGGCACTCCTTTATTTGAAGGTTTCTCTTACAACTTTTCCTTGTTTCCTCTGAGAGTGGGATAGAATTCAGCAAACAGTCTTGGAGATTGGCAAGGTGGATCCAAGAAATACCTACCATTCCCTTAGATGGTCCCTTGGGGGCACTAAAAGTTTCATTCTTTGTCAGGCTTTGGCCTGGGCACCTGTGTGATTCCCCTTGGAGAATCTAATTGCACTGGGGACTAAAGGGGTAGTGAATCCTGTCTGTGAGGGCAGGATGTGAAAATAATCCAGGTTGCTATCATTCAGATGAAAGGGTGTACACCAGCTCAAGATGGACAGGCACATGCCTACCCTCGTGCAAAAAGTCAGAAAGGGGGACTGGGCGCGGTGGCACACGACTTTAATCCCAGCATTTGGGAGGCAGAGGCAGGCGGATCTCTATGAGATGGAGGCCATTTGGTCTACTTAGCAAGTTCCAGGCCAGCTGGGGCTACAGGGAGAACCTTTCTCAAAACAAATAAACAAAAACAAAAAAACCCAAAAAGGCAGCAAGGGCCTCTTGCCAGAGTGCTATTTCTAGGACTGGTCACCTTGGTCCATGAGTAGCTAAGGAGTTTGTGATGCTGCTGGTCTAAGCTGGGACAATGTCCAGTAACTACAGGAAGCGAAATCACAAAGGCATGCTTCCATTCCCTGGAATTTATCCTGTCACTCATGTGAATGCCACCTTGGAAAAAGGATTTTAAATATCCACAATATAGAACACATAAAATGGATTATGAACCTCCAAATACCAGACTATGATGCAGTGGTCAACAGCAAGATTTTAGGGAATCCCACCCAACACCACTGCCCAGGACCCCTGTTTGTTCACCTTTCGTGAGGCCTTCCAGCCGTCAGTGATTGCTTGTTCTAGCTCTTCCCAGGTGACCATGGTGACTTCTTCTCCACCCGGAACAAAATTCATCCTCCGACTTAATTGATCCTGATAGTAACAGATAACACACAAACATACACATTTGTAAGCATGAATGCGTGCACACACACATACACACACACACACACGCACACACACGAGTTTAATCCCATAAAGGCTAAGAAATAGATCGGGACCAAGAGGTTTGGGTGGGTCCTTCCAACAGCCCCAGCCCCTGCAGGGAGAGTCGCTGTCCTTCCAGTGATCAGCCAAAATTGGGGAGCTGGTTCTTTGTCCCACATGGGCCCTAAATGGATTTCTGGGCGGGGAAGGAAAGGATTTCTCCCTCTACCCAGAAATAACCCAGACATGTGGCGGGGGGGGGGCAGGGCTGGGAGTTGGGACAGGCCCTACAGAGAAGCCAGGCTAGGGGTAAACACCCCACTCCCCAGGGCTCTTTCCCCCAGAGCTGGTTCATATTACCAGATATTCATCTTGATCTTTGACGAGCTTCTCAAGGTCATTAATGCGCTGAAGGAGTTCCTGGAAGTGGGAATTTGGAAACAGACCATCACTCAGCCCACCTGTGCACACCACACTGCTTCAGACCAAAAAAGAGTAAAGGAGGTGGGTGCACAGGTCTTAGTGAAGGGATGGTTTCTAGTTTCTACCTGGTTTTACCTGGCAGATAAAACCAGGCTCCCGGTTCTTTTCCTGGTCAACAAGAAGGAAGGATGTAGGGTGCAATGGTAACAGTAATGGGTACAATGTGCAGAGTGTTAATGCAGGCCTGAGACTGCTGGTCCTCTCATAGTATCCACTACTAAAAGCCTCCAGCACGGCAGCAGGAGTAAGTTGCCTCTCTAGGAGCAAGTTCCAGATACTGCAGTATCACTTGTGTCTCAACCATGTAAAGAGGAAAACCCTCAGGGTGAGACAGATGGCTCAGCTGTTAAGAGCACTGACTGCTCTTGCAGAGGACCCAGGTTCAATTCCCAGAACCCACATGGCGGCTATGAACCATCTGTAACTCCAGTTCCAGGGGAATCCGAAGCCCTCTTCTGACCTCTGTGGCATTGCACGACATGGTGCGCCCACATACATGCAGGCAATATACTCATACACATAAAAAGATATATAAAATAAATTATTTTATTTAATTTTTAAAAATTTTAAATTTTATTTTACGCATATGTGTGTATTGTCTATATTGCATGTAGGTAAGTGCACCTGTGTCGTGCAATGCCTGCGGAGGACAGAAGAGGCTGGGGGGTCCCCTGGAAATAGAGTTACGGAATGTTGTTATCTACCATGTGGGTGCTGGGATTCAAACCTGGGTCCTCTGCAAGAACAACCAGTGTTCTTAACCGCCGAGCCATCTCTCCAGTCCCCTAAAATATTTTAAAAAAGAGGAAGAACCTTAAGAAAACTCAAGCAAGTTTTCAGCACTTAAGTTGCTCCTTACAACCTCCAGAATTGAGTTGGGCGTGGTGGTGCATGCCTTTAATCCTAGCACTCTGGAGGCAGAGGCAGGCAGATAGATCTCTATGAGTTCAGGGCCAGCCTGGTCTATATAGGGAGCTCCAGGCCAGCTGACATACAGGGAGACCCTGTCTCAAAAAGACAGGAAAAAAAACCCCAAACCCTCCAGAATTGAAGATCAGACTCAAAGTAAACCCATCAAACTTTAAAGTTTGAAAGTGCCAGGTGTGGTGGTTGAACACCTGCCATTCCAGTCTTTGGATCAGGAGTTAAAATCATCCTTGGCTACACAGTAAGATCAAGGCCAGCCTGGGCTATAGGAGAATGCTTAAAAAAAATATCAAAAACAAAGAGAAGCAGATACCCTTCTCCAAGATGGTACTGGGGTCCCCTGGCCTGGGGTAGTGCCCAGGATGGCATCTGTGCCAGAGGTCCCCTCAGGACTTGGCCTCCTCAGGCTTTCCTTCCTGTTTCTCTTTTGGGCCTCTTTCTTCTTGGTGCCCTTTTCCCTCCAGGGCTACCCTCAACCCCTCAGGTCGAATGTGTGGGAAGCTGAGCCTTGTCAGTTACTGGCTTGAGTTGGCCTGCTTTGCGTTTCCTGGTGCTTATTGCTGAGACATTCAGACCAGCTTCTTCCTCAAGAGAACCCGAGGCCAGGTGAAACTGTCCCCAGCCTGCGTTGGTTTCTGTCTGTAACCACAAGGTGCTGGTGTCTGCCTTTCCATCCCAACTCCCCTCACGAGGACTGATCCTTGGGTCTCGATATAGACCAACTTGATTTCTTTATTCTCCCCAACTCCCCAAGCCAGTCTGGAATTCACTGTGGCCTAGACTGGCCTCAAACTTGCAGAGATCCCCTGGTCTCGGCCTCCTAAGTGCTGCTGAGATTAGAGGTGTGAACCGTCATGGCCTATACATTCTTTATTCATTAATTCACGTGTATATGTATGTACATATGTGCATATGAGTGCAGGTGCCCAGGGAGGCCGGAAGCGTAAGATCCTCCTGGAGCTAGACTTACAGGCAGTTGTGAGCTGCTTGATGTGGTGCTAGGAACCAAAGTCAGGTCCTCTGGAACAGTACAGGCTTTTAACCAGTGAGGCATCACTCCAGCATTCTCTTTGTTCATTTCCTTATTATTATTTATTTATTTATTTTATTTATTTATTTATTTTGGTCTTTTTGAGACAGGGTCTCCCTGTCACCCCAGCTGTCCTGGAACCCACTATGTAGACTAGGATGGCCTTGAACTCACAGAGATCCATCTGCCTCTGCCTCCGGAGTGCTGGGATT